TCAGAAGGCATTATCAGTACAAACAGGTATATACTTTAGGGATGAATGGAACTGTCTAATTATTTTTTAATACATATATATGACAACTGCACTGGTAAGACAGTTTTCAGGTTGCATTTATGATATTCTGAATTTATTGTCTCTTGTTCATTTCAAAACTGCCTGTAGCCTTGGGTTCACAAGAAGATGTAGATGGATTACAGCCATGCAAACACTGTGTCCCTTGGAGTATGGGAAAGCTTGGAGTATGGGAAATTATAACTATATTTTTAATAGTTCTAATATATTTCCTGAGGCATTTGCACTGGTCACTCTAGGGCAGCATTAAGGACTTCTGTCCCATCCACTGAGTCAGCTGGGCTTTTGCTCTAATCCGACATTCTTAGGTACTTTAATAGTTAAAAACAGTCTGACACACATGATAAATTGTAGGACTAATAATTTGTTCACTTGATCACAGCACCAAAAAACTATGCAGGAAATTGTCTGGTCTGAGAACCTTTCCTTTTGGGAGCACCTTGTTTGTTATCACAGATCAATAACCAGGTCTGAACAAGCCAATAGATTGTGCTGACTAAATTCTGACTGGCCTTAACCTTGGGGTGGAGAAGGGGTTAATAGGAGTGGGTGCCTGGCTTCAGGTCTGGGGGAACAACACCTTGGCCAGAGCTGCTGAGGGTGAGTCAGTGTAACTGACAATCCCCTTAGAAGCTGACATGTCTTTTAAGAGCATGATGTGTCTTCAGCATATTAATAACCAGCCTAATACTCTGGCGATGATACTCTCATTTGAGCTGAAGACAGATGGATAAGGTACCTTGCCAAAAAGTTTATTTGTCTTTTACAAAATTTCTGGAGACCTTTAACAGAAATTTCTAGTCTGTGTTGGCTTCTTGTCGCAATTTATGATTTTTTAAAATCACATTTTCTTAAGAAAAAAGTCAAAAACATATTTTTCTGTCTCTCATATAGACTAACTCACAGAAAAATTAAAGATCCATCTCTACCTTTAGGAAATGTTTCTTTTGATTGTCGTTAAGAATAATCTTATGCCAATAATAGAACTTTTTGGTAATACTGAGATGGATAACTGTCAAAATGGTGTTTTATTTATTTCTCTGCTTTTTAGTTGAATAGTATTTATTGAAACTAAAATTGTTTTCAATTTAATAAAGACCTTTTTAGGCATGGTTCTCAATGTTGAAGTGTTTGTAGTTCTTCACTATTTGCACATCTTTATTTCCAAATTTGTGTTTTTTCAACTCTTTTCCAAACTCAAAACTGAGGCCAGTAATGCCTACAAAAAACAAACAAACAAACAAACAAAATACCCCCCACTTTCTTTTTTATAGCAATAATTTCTAGTAAAAGCATACAGGCATGCAGCTCTCAAATAATAGTATGTGTCTTTTAAGGTGAAACTAATCCTGAAAAAATGAACAAGATTATTAGTCACAAGTATTGTAGAAAAAAAATGAAACTAAAAGCAAATTAAGCCTGAAAGAGTTAAACCTCTCTGCCATTTGTGAAAATGCCCTATAGTTTTTGTATGTCGAGAATATGCATTGTTAAAGACTGCAATGTCCCCTCCAGCATAATCTTTTTCTATGTTCACTGAAGAATACTGCTTTCCCAGACAATATTAAATGTTCATTCTTTTCCCATTATTGAAGATAAATATTAGTGATAAGACTTGGACTGGCAAAAATAATTGCAATGAAAAAAAGGTGGTTGAGAGATATTTTCATATCTTCAAAGGATTCTGAAACTGATATTAATCCCATTGCCTGTGGAAGCCTATTGTCATTACTTGTACTTCTATTATCTTTGCTTTTAATTTACATCTCTAGGAAAGTGATCTTTGCTTTCTTTGGGATCATAATTATGATTAGACTTTTCCTCTTTCATGGCTAGACAATGTCCTTGCCACTCCCCTTGAATTTTTTCCAATATACAATTGTACTGTGATATCAGCAATCTTATTACATCAGTTACTATATTACATTATAAAGTAAATTTTGTGCAAACATTTTAAGATTCAAAAAAGGTGCTAGAGTGAAGGCTTGTCCATTCACTAAAAACAGACATGGAGATTTTTCAAGGATTCTCATTCAATTCATGAATACCACAATAACTTTGAGTTAAATCCAATACAAACACTTAAATATCAGCCACAGAAACCATATTGCACATTTCCAGAGTGAAATTTGAGAGAGGTTTGCCATAAAAATGTGAAAAAATGTCAATTTGTTCATGTTCTGGAGACAGCAGTAGTGTACTTCAAAATCTCACTGGTACTTTTATTTTGTTTAGAAAGTTCAAATGCCAGTGTCACCTAAAGAAGGATCCTTCATAAAGCTATAGATTAAATTGCTACTCAGACTTAAAGGGGATTTCACGCAGAAATAGCCTTTTACAGGTAGGCAGAGAAAATTCCATAACCAAAAATTTTGCTTCTAATTTCATGAATCAAACTAATGCTTTGACATCCAAAAACCCTCTGATCTATTTGTATAGATGGTTCTCTTTTAGGTCCAGCCCTAACAGCAGCAACATGGAAAGAATCACCAATGCCATGTCTTGTTTTGTTTTGTTTTGTTTTGGAAAGCTTTTCTTCTGGAAGCCTTATTTATGGACCATGTAAATGAAAGCACAAATTAGTTGAGAAAAGCTGCTTGGAGAGCTCTGCACCTTGTGCTCAGGGGAACAGATTGTGATGATTGTGAGAGTGCTACCTGCAGGAGCTCACTGAGCCCTCAGCTCACATCCCAGGGCTCTGCCTTCTGCGCTCACGACCTTCAGGGCTGGGAGAGAATTTCACTGTGCCTAAGGAGAAAAGCTGTTCACTACACCACACCACAGAGCTCTCAGAAAGCTTCTGTTCAGCCTTAGACCCCAGAAATTAAACTCCTCAATGTTTATACAGTTTTAAGAGGAGTCTACAGAGAGACGGGAACAACTCTGAGGGGCTGAGAGGTGTTGATCACTGAGGAGACACGTGCAGGACTCTGCAGTGGCATTTGCAAGGGACTTGTGGCTTCAGGCCACATATGTTGTATTTCTGTAGCTCAGTAAAAGAGGTGACAAAATCAAGTATAAACAAGGCCAGATCCTGGCTGCCAGGATGAAATGGAGACCTCCAGTCACCTGGGGATGGTAAGTTATTTGAGGGTGTTGCTATGTGAAAGCTTATGGCAATACTTATGACAGAAAGGGGCACTATCTTCAGCAGGCACAGTCAAGAGAAAGTGTTGTGTGGGGACATAAGGATGAGAATGATTGTACTCTAAAAGACAGAGGGAGAATCTTGAGCACACATTCAGGAAATGGAAAAGCCCACTCAAAATTTGTTTTACTGTTCTGGAAGGTGAAACATGTTTGAATATGGGCCTTTTCACATCTGTGTGGCTGCATTATCCAGTAAGGTACCAGATCAGGAGAAATCACCAGGTTCTTATCCATTTCCTTTATACCAAAGATAGAAGACCCTCTCAGGATTCATGTCCAGGGCCAAAAGCTTTGAATAGTGAGGAAAACATTCCCAGCTGGCAGTTAGATACTCAGCTCCTTGGATGGAGCAATTTTCGGTCCAAACAACCATATAGTAACTTCCAATTGCTTACAATTTACACAGCCTTGAGTGTGTTTAGATGACTTCTCCGAATTCTGTTTCTACATCTTTCTGCCCCGAAGCAACGGGTGAGGCCTATGTCAGTGATTTCCAGAGAAGGATTGCAATGCTGAGCATGGTGCTGTCCATATGTTTTTATGGATTATGCCTTCCTAGCCATGAAGTAACAGCACTTTCAGCCTGGCCCCTACGCTGGCCTGTGGTGAGAAGACACATTCCACACATGGCCATCCTTGCCAATAATGTGCTACACCTTCAGACTCTGTGCACCTTCTGTAAAATTAAAAATGCACCTGTCTCTATGGGAAAAGACACAAGGCTGAAGGTTTTACTGTTCTCACAGAAGAAGTAAAAGAGAGGGAATCTTTTCCTACACTGTCTGTAATTTTTCCTAACATGAGGAGTCGTCAATAGAAAGATAACTGTTCCTGGTCTCCAAGTCTATTAATCAATTGGATTACAGATTGAGATTGACAGATTATTTCATTAAATAGAAGCCTGATCTAGTTCCATTTAACTTCAGAGAAAACTGAATTGTAATCCCAGAAGCAACTGGGGTGCTAGATTCATCAATATGGGCATTTGCCCCTTGAGAAGTTGATGGATTCCAAATTCAGTTCACAGAGGGCTGATTACACATCCTACTATTCTTGAGCTCTGCTAAATATGGAGAAAAAACACGCCCTAGTTTTGAAAAGATTTACATTCTATCATCAGTAATTCCAGCCTTCTAATACGTTTGCATTTTGATTTAATAGAAGTTGAATATAAGTTTTATGTTTCAAAAAACAATTTCACTATCCATAAAGATTATAATATAAATCCTACTTCCTTCACTTGTCGGCTTTAAAAATTCAATGATAACTAAGTAATTTTTTCAGAAGACTAGGATGCAGTCCTTTCTTTAGGGGCCTGTGTTGGCTTCAGGTAAAATGCTTGACAGTACCTCATCATTATTTCTCAATATACCTTCCATATTATTATTCTTGAACTTTATTTCTATACAGACATACATATAACTCCTTTGCATTAAGAGAAGTCCCACAAGCATGGCAAGGACATAAATAACATGTCTGTACTTCTATTTTTATATGAAAGTTTTTCAGATTTTCTGTAATAATTAAATAATAAAGAATAATGAATTAGTAAGTTAATAATTAAATAGTAAAGAATTCTTACAAATTCTTACAACAAGCAGCTCAGTAAATATCATTATTTGTGTTTTGAATTTAAGAGGTTTGCTGGAGCACAACTGAAAAGGCTAGTAGACTGCCATGTAATTATTGTCAGAATTTATATCACAGATATACAATTAATTCTTAAAAAGATTACTAAATATTTTCCCTCTATTATCAAGCAACTGACCAACCTTTTTTCAGGGAAGGTTCCACTTCACCTAAACCAAGAGAAAAAAACAAGTATCAGAGAAAAGATTAAAAAAAACCACAAACCGACAAAACCCAAACCAAACCAAAACAAAAACAATGCACAAAACAAAACAAAACCAAAAAACCAACACCTTTTTTAAGGTTGGCTCATTTTATTTCAAAATTTTTTTTTCTTTATATGCTAAATTACAAGCATCAATTCTGAGATTTTGTATTTTTCATTAAAAATTTAAATTGTCATAGAGTTTTGGGTAGATAAATTCAAGGTGCAATAGTAACTAAGGAAATATCCAAATCTCTATTCGTGCTTCTGAATATTAACTTGTGACTGCAATTAAAAATTTACTTTACTTTATGCATGTTTCCACATTTTTAGGAAAGGCTCACTGGTCCTTTTTGAATTCCAAATAAAGTATATATGAAATTAAGCAAGATTGTAAGTCTAGAAACGGCCAAAAAAGAATCTATTTCAGTGTAACTATAAGCACTTGATTGCTGCAATATGTAGGACAGGGAATTTGAAGGAGTGATCCCAAATGACTGGCCAGGGCGCAGCCTCAGCTGCACTGACTGCAGCACAGAGTGGGCAGGGTGCTTAATGCCCTTAATTTTTATGATATAGTGCACTAAGATGCCTTGCTGCCTATTCACACTCCTGGTTGATGATGAAATTCCACTTGTGCAAAACACTTCCAGAGCTAAGGTTTCCAAATCTAGTGAACATCAGATCTCGAATTTTTGTCTGTCAGGTATTTCATGACTTTTCCTACTGCCATTAACACTTAGACACTAGAGTGTTTGAAAGTTTGCATGTGCTTTGGGAGCTGTGAAATCCTAAAAATACACACTGATCAAATTTTACAAAGCTGTCTATTTTTCATCTTTTCTGTTTGCCAGCCTTAGGAGAGACTGGCTTTCTGCTAGTTATAAATCATGTCTCAGAACAGGATGCCCAATTCACAGACTCACATGTAGCAGCCTATCTATTAGCATTCATATACGAAGCTAATATAAAAAGCTCATGCACACATTTAAAAAGTAAACACTTGGTAATATCTCAGATTTCTGAACAAATGGGTAGAAGTCAGTTTCAGTACATGTCACTTTTTAATTATATTCTGGTGTAGCCAAATGGAATGTAAAATAGACTACCGTGAAATGAAGATGTCACTCCTTCACTTATCGCTTGTCAGAATGACCAATGTGATGTGACATGATGATCCACTACTGACTGTGAGCAGTCTCTGCTTATACCAGGGAACTTGGTTTTATTTTTTTGTTTTGGTTTAGTTTTTGGTTTTTATTAACAGAAAGAGAGTTACTTCCAAAATCAAAATATTAGTAATTCACTTTCTTTTATCTGATTATGTCATGAAGAATGGTACCATAATGGCAAAATAATTTCTAATAAACTGAATTATTTGCAATATGCCATCCAAAATCCCGTAAATTCAGTTGAAATGTTATATTCTTTTTTCCTTTCAATATATTCCTCCATTATCAATATGTCAGATTGAAAAAAGTTCTAAATTTCTTGGTGTGTCTTGAATATTTTCCAAGGTTGTTTAGATTCTTGCTGATTAAAAGAAAATAGTCATTTTCATTCTCCGAAGCAATATCCTGATGCATATTTTGGTTGTGGCTTTGAAGTCATATATAAATTAGTATTCTTTTCTTCAAGATGTACTAATGGTAATATTTAATTCTGACAGCTTTTCTGTAATAGTACATTAAACATGAGATGAAAGCTAGCAAAGAGACCAATTTACTGATTAGAATAGCCAGTGGATGCTTTATTAGCAGTAATGTTCACTTTTCCCTTTTGTTTGACCTTCTTGTCTATGATGTTAAAAGCTGAGTAAGCTGTTTTAATGCGTGTAAAAAAGCAGAGCAGTTACAGAGGTCTTTACATTACAAATACCTTCATCACTGTCATCATCATCACTCCATACGATGTCAGACAGTAAAGAAAAAAAGCCATAAATCCAATCAGAAGACTCTTCCAGTGTCTCATGAATGATTCTCAGTGGTTCTGTGCTGAGCTTGTGAACAGATCTTCCTGAGTGCAGAGTTTAAAACAAAAGCAATTTGAAAAAAGAACCCGAACCAAACAACTCCTTCAGTAGTAAAAGTTCATCTTCATTTTATACAGGACTTATTATACTACCTCTTTCAGCAGAAACAAGGATTGTGAATGTTAATTTTTATTATTCAAGCATTCGAGGACAGCTCTCCTTCCTGTGGAAGGCTGGTATAAACTGTATCTTATTGCACTTGTTGTTCACAGAGTGATTAAGGATCCAGTGTACAATTTGTTTTGATGTTGTACTCCAAGTTCTGGCTCTCCTTCTGGGGTTTGGCTGGGCAAAATATAAGTATGGATTTTATTCTAACATTCTTCATTTTAGATAATTGTTTCATTTTAGCCCAGTTTTTAATCTCAGATCCCCTGCCTCTTGATGCCCACCTAGGATTCAGTCCCAATTATGTTATATCTCCCCACTGAGCTCCTTCCTTCACACAAGTCCAGGCTGAAGAAATTCAAACATACAGGAGGGGAAGAAGAAAGCTGTGCATACTCAGGCCAAAATTAACCTGCTCTCAGACAATAATAAACAGGGATGCAAATCGTAGCAGAGAGACCACTGCTTTCAAACTCATACTCCTGTGATTCTGGTTCTTCTCTCACAACTTTTCTAGAATTTCTTTCACGTACACTTGTGCATGAGTGCATACTTAACTTGTTCTGTTCTTAGTGCCCCTGAAGGCAAACAAATTGGGAAACAAGGAAACCTTCCTGGAACCTCTGGTGGAAGTGAGACTTCTGCTCCCCACTGTATCCACAGCCAGGCAGTGCAGCCATAAGTGGCTGATACTAGTACTCCCTTAAAGGCTTTTCCAATTGGGATTTCACCAGATTTCTCCATACCTGACACATTACTTCAGAGGGACTTCCCCATCTCTGACAGAATTCGGACCATTCTGTGCAGCAATTTTCTATTTTCTTGAACTTTGTACCAAGCATTGCTTAGGAAGAGGGAAAACCCTCATTCAGTCTATGTTACTGCTCACTGTACTTGAAACTGCAGACTGAGTAATTTCCTGGTCTGTGCAAAGCTTTTCCACAAATATAGACTACTGAAGGTAGACTTCAAATGTGATTTGAGCTTTTGGCCTAGTCTTGCTCACAGGAGTTTTGATAGAGATATGTATCCTGAATTTAACATTATCAAGGTGGGAAACACTCATCTCTTGTCTTTCTGTAGGTAAAGATTTTGGTAGGAAGCTAAAGACAAGTCTATTTAGAACTACTTCTGATTGCAGTGTTCTGACTCACAAGCCAAAATGAGAAGCAGTCTCACATGGACTTGCAGGCTAAAAATCATGCAAGGTGCAGGCTTAGAGGAACTTTTTAAGTGACAGCAGTAGGAAAAGTTATTTTCTTAAAGTGCTGTAACAAAACTTAGATGTAGCTTTATTTGAAATATAAATGCATCACTATTCATGTTCATTGTATTTCTAATTAATTATTGTGAAACACAAGAGACCAGGCTGACTTTCTATTGGTTTGCATCTGCTTGTTGATGATGCAGACCAAAGAAATATTATAGTTAATATTTTGTGAATATTGCATTATATAGGTATGTGCTGCTGAACAATCAGACACATCAAATAAATTAAAGGTATGACATGATGCAATGACAGAGTTATAAAGAAATTAATTTAGTGCACTATGGTGCATACTATTTTATTCCGAAAGATTGAGTAGTAAACCAGCAAATATTTACTTTGTTTAGCATGACACTTGTTTGCATTGTCTTCATGCACTGAGATACAGAAATTTAATTTCTTCAAGTGATTTGCCAGAAATTGTCTTCTCAAGCGTTAACCAGGAAAAAGAATACCTATATTTAGGTATTATATACTTTATATATATACACTGTATATACTTTACTCTTAAAAAGTAAATTTATGACCTGACCCTTGATGCCATTTACACTTTACTCTAATCTAGAGGTGCTAAGGAGTCAAAGTGGACTAGTAGAATGGACATGGCCAGAGGTGCCTTAGCATAATCAAGATTTTGATTCACAAGCAGGGATGGTTTAACTTTGGACAGCTGCCTTTATTTTCAGTGTGGCTATCCACTCTCCTTTTACCCACTGGTGTCATAGGGAGGGCTCAGTTACTTTTACAGCCACAGGTTTTTACAGCTGCAAGGACTACAGCTATAAACTAAACAAGAATTGGTATCAATTTATTTTAATTAACTGGTCTATCAACTAGCAGCTCAAAAACTGCTTCGGCTTCACAGGTAGCAGAGCTGTCCCCCCTGGGCAGGCAAGGGAAATGCTCAGAGAAGTGCAAGATCAAGAGCAGAGGAAATTATTCCAACCACCCCAAGGCAAGCCATCTTTGCTGATGAATCAGTCTTCAACATCATATCCTGGTCTTTAATTCATAACGTCTTCATACCACACTATGAAAAGGGATTAGAAATTATAAGTGTCTAGAGGCAAAATTGTGTGTCCAGTCATGCCTGTGCTAACAGGTCCAAGTTGCAAATCCTGTTTAGCATAGAAAGTTTTGAAAAATCAGTTTTTAGCTATGTAGAGGACGTTTTATTGGTATTTGCAAAATGAAATTTTGTATTAAACAGATACTGTGAGCTCACTTATGGTCTGATGCAAGTGGCATGAACCTGGAAAATTATGTCTTTGTGCACTGATCTTCTGTTTAAATTTTATTTCCAACATTTTTAAGAGTAGTGCTAATAATAATGATGTGTTCTAGAATTCTTAAGAACACCACACCAAGTAATGCTGAAGTGAAAATTAAGACTGATTAAATCCATGGTTTTAGTTCTTCCAACAATTTTGACAATACCAGGTGCTACAAGGTCCCTAGCAGAATGAAATACAAAGGAAATTAAACAATTCTGGTGTTAACAAGTACAGAGAAAGATTCAATTTACCTCACACGCATGCAAAGAAAGATAATAATTTCCAGAAGATTTGCATACTCTTACTTCAAGAGTGAAGCTGAAAGAATGCAGATTTTCATAACAAAGTTTGATCTTCACATTTTTAAATTTAGAGATGTCCAGCAATTGAAAACGTGATGAGATTTTTTGCAATCACCTTGTAGTCAACACATTTGACTGGATTAGCAGTCTTCCATCCAAATTCTCATTTCTTAGGAGACTAATTATTTTAAAAGTAACTCACAATATATTTATTTTTCTAACATATGATGTGTAATATAGAATTTGTAACTAATCTATAGCTATAGCTAATACTATTTTAGATTAATATAATTGATTTAAACTGTAATTGAAACATTATATATCACATAAAATCCATTGCTCTGAAAGTAGAGGGGGCAGGATTTTGCATTTCAATTGTAGAGGTTATTTCTCAGAATATTTGTCAGATAGATATAGACTTGTGAAGTTTAAACTTTTGTTTAACTTTTAAATAGAGGTTGAGACAACTTTTAAGTCTTAGATAAAATAGTAAACAATTTATAAATGCCTGCTGAAGGAGGGGAAACAAAGTAAATGGTTAATGAGGAGTTAAAGCTCAGAAATATACAATTAATATTGAAGAATTTAGTTGGCACTACATAATTACCTTAAATCACAGTTTAAATTCAGATTATCCTATTTAGGGAAATATACCTGAAAGGATACTTAATCCCTGGTGTTCCTAAACTCCCTCAAAAGCCAGTGCAGAAAGACATATTGCAACATTCAGAAGGCAAGTGTCTCTCTTTCCTCTGAAATCTGTCTTAGGGTTACATGAATCAATTTCCAAAGATACCCATTCCTTTCCATTGACTAGAAAGGAAGCCTGAAAAATTAGGATGGACGTGTCACCTTATTTTCCTATTACTGAGATATGGGACATGGATCCTGCTAGTGATGTTGTTTCACATTTAAATCCTTCTTGTTATGGCACACTTTGGCTAAGCACTTAGATTTGTAACTTTACATTCATAATTAATGCCAGGACTATACAACTATTCCCCTTGATAAATTACTTACATTCCAGAACAGCACTGATTCCACAAAAATGCATTGCTAGAATGTTTTGTTTGTCAAAGTATTTTATTACTTGCTACAGTATGAGAGATGTTTTTCAGATTAATAAAAATTCCTCTTTCTTGTGCTGACATGTTCACTGCTGTGAGCATAGTAACAGTTCTGTTGTTTTGTTATCAGAGGAAACATCAGAATTCCAGAACCTTTCTGGAAAATGATGAAATTTGGAAGAGTTAAAGCTGACAGAGGAAGAATTCCAATCAAATAGAAGGAATTTGCGTACTACCTTTCAAAGAAATCTTATCCTAGAACAACTCAATTGAATTTGATTGGAAAATGTTTGTTAGCTATTGCAGATGTCTGGAAGATTATTTGGATTTTCCATGCTAAACACTGACAAAGTTCTCAAGTCCTACAATTGGCATTGACAAGACAGAAGGAAATTTTCATAAAGCTACAAAGTCTTTTTGAACAGAAAACCCCTTTTCTTTTAAATCAGGGCTGATAGTGAGTACTTTAAAAGTGATGTTTGGATACAAGAATTGAGTAATCAGATGGTATGATTTACTGTAGCCTCTCAAGCAAATTTGGTTATGTTTAATAGTCCATGTCATTTATTCCTGTGAAGTGCACAACAAAAAGTGACTAATTGATTATCTGTGCAAATCACTTCAGTCATTAGTTGAGTCTTAGTAACTGCCAGAAATGTAGTTTCCTATCAATCTTTTTTGCCTGTCAAATGGTTAAATGTATACTCAGAGTTCAACTTGTGCTAAGGTGGCTTTTTTTATTTTAAATGAATCACAGCAAATTAGTTAATAATTGTTGGATTTTCATCAATTACATATTTTGACTCCAGTGAATTGAATGCAATTAAGTTACAAATGATGGCAATTATCTGGTGCAAAGATTGATCTATGAGATATAAAGTGCTCCATTGACACTGACAAGGTACAGCTGATGAAGACAGAGAATTTCTGTTGTATTTGATGAAATACAGAAGCCTAACACTAGCT